GATACGTCTGGGACTCTTCACCGTGCTCTACACGGTGCCAGCTGCCAGTGTGGTCGCCTGCCTCTTCTATGAGCAGCACAACCGGCCCCGCTGGGAGGCCACGCACAACTGCCCCTGCCTGCGCGACCAGCAGCCTGATCAGGCCCGCCGTCCGGACTATGCTGTCTTCATGCTCAAGTACTTCATGTGCCTGGTGGTGGGCATCACCTCCGGTGTCTGGGTCTGGTCTGGCAAGACCCTCGAGTCTTGGAGGGCCCTCTGCACCCGCTGCTGCTGGGCCAGCAAAGGTGCTGCCGTGGCTGGGGGCACAGGGGCAGGAGCAGGAGGGCAGGCGGCAATTGCTGCAGCAGGAGGACTTGGGGCTGGAGGTGGTGGCTCCCTCTACAGCGATGTCAGCACAGGCCTGACGTGGAGATCGGGCACTGCCAGCTCTGTCTCCTACCCCAAGCAGATGCCCCTGTCTCAAGTGTGAAGAGAAGGGGAAAGAGGCCAAAGGTTATGGAATGAGGGACACTGGCCTGCCTGAAATGCCCCCTCACTGTTTGGTGCCATTAATGAACCCCTAATGGTCCTTATTAGCCACAGCTTGTATAGAACAATGCAGCTGGCAGAGGCCCCGGGCTCCAGCCCCCTCCTCCTTCCCCTCCATTCATATGCAGGGAGCATGTACTTCAAGGAGACAGCTTATTATTTTGCTGGCAGAGGAGGGTAGAGTCTCACCCGTGTCTTGCAGAGGGCAACAGCACAGCAGCTTCTGATTCACTCTGGACTAAGAGCAGCTCATGGGAGGGAGAGTCTCCCTCCACCCCATCCTGAGGTGGGAGTCTGCTGGGACTGCAGGTTTTCGGGATGTTGATGACCAGGCAAATGCCTTACAATACAGACTGAATCAAAACATGTCTTAATTATACACCCCAGCTAAATACGGGTTTCCTACATTAAAGGATGTATTTATATAATTATTTGTTACCTTGTACAGATATGTAAGATATGTATATATCCAAAGCTATACAGTCTGTAAATTTTTTTGTAAAAAAAGTTTAGAGGCTACCCCTGTAAGAGCAAATATGAGTATTCTATTTTGTCAATAAAATGACTTTTGATAAATGACTTTTTCAAGCTTTCCCCCTATGCCTGCCCTGGTTATTCAGCTGCTCTGTCTTTAGGTGGTTCTACAAACTATGAACTACATTCATGCTCCAGTCATTCCTGTGTAATAGATGGCTGCCTTTGTTACAGCAGTGAGATACACAGACACAAGGAAAACAGACACAAGTCATTCAACAAGTTGCTCTGAAAAAGTGTTTGCCAAATTGGGGAGGTGCCTTACCATAGTTCTCTGGTTTGTTTTTTGTTGTTTTGGTTTTAAGATGACAGCATCTTTAACTTGAGCCTTTACAAAAGAGTCATCTCACATGGCATGTTAAGTATCCTTTTAAAATGGGTATTATTTTAGGAATGTGCATACACGCCTCTCCTATCTGTTGTCTACACTTCTGTAAGCACCTGCCTTTCTCAGGATGCATACTGAAGTGTAAAAGGTTAATGTTTTAAATTCATAGATCATGTATGACGGTGGAACAGCGAGTTGAGTTTTGTTAGATCAATCTCTTCTTAACAGATTAAACTAACATCTTAACTTTCGTATATCAAATATGGTCCTTTTTCAAGAGAAAAGGTATTGTTCTTCTGTCAGGACTAAGCTAATTTATTTGAGCAGAAGGCTGTTGAATTAACAGAAGAATGCTTTAGCAATTGTTGAACTTTTTACCTGTCTGCCCAGTGGCTCAGAACATCATTCCTTTAAGAGGAGCTAAATGAATAGGGTTAATCTGTAGGGAACTTGGTTTCTTTTGAGTTTGGGAAAACTTTGATCTTTTCTCTTCACCAAACGTGATGTATAGTCTGAAGTTTCTTTCCCTGCTGCCTGGTTCCTCTTGTTGCAGACCAATTGGCCACCATGGAGCCTTAAAGTTCTTCAATTAAAGGGACATGGGACTTTTTTTTTTTTTTTTTTTTTTTTTATTTTAAGAGGAAGACTTGTAACAGTTAGTGAACACCAGAGGGAAAAGGGAGAACAGCCTTTTAAACAGCTTTTCCCTGCATTGTTAGCCAGACTGCAGGCAGCAAGGCATGGCTTGGAGCATTATAGAAAAGAGCTATGAATGCCCTACAGGTGGTCTGTTCACATAATCTCCCCAATTTAAAACATTTTCCTTTACAGGACAATTGCATTACAAAACTCCCTTCTCTTTTGCTCCTAATTGAACCAAAGAACAACTACAAGATTTTCTTTAAAAACTAAGTGCCTAAAAATTTTTTTAAGATCTATTAACTACAGTCTAATCTGTTTTCTAAAATGGGATTGCTCAGAATACCAGGAGTAGAAGCTCGTTTAGACATTATTCCAGATATTTTTATGCCTTCTTATATTCTGTCAAATTAGCAATCATTTAAAAGCAATTGGTAAGGTTGTGTGCTAGCAGTGAAAAGATAGCCCCAGGTCCCTTATTAACCTGTCAATCATGGTAAGAGATGGGCAGCTACCCTACTAATGACACAGATATCAGTCATGATTTGTGGGAAAAACCTCATTCCATTGAGTGCTGATTGATTATTGGTGTCCCTTTCAAAGATGTTGTAACTTAATAGACTCCTCCACTTCTACAAAGTTACCAGGATCATGAAAAGGAGGAATTTAAAATGCCAATCTCTTAATTTCTTGGAGGGAAAACTAATTTTAACTTCTCAAATGCAAAGAGTGTTCCACTGGGATTTATGCGTGGTGCCTGTTTATATGCCAGTGGACGAGGAATGGAATATTGACATTCCTGTAAGTTGAAAAGGCCTTAGTGTTTTCCTGTATTGCTTGAAACATTTTGTAACAGTCGTTGAAACATTTAAATCAACGTGGCAGTTCGCTTTGCTGTCGGTGGGGCTATGGTAGAGGGGAAGCCCTAAGTGTGGAAGCACAATCACTTCTTCAGATAAAAATCTGTGTTACTTCCCCTCCAGTGGGTTCTAGCAAGGAACAGGAGAGGTACAGTCACAACTGTCTTGTGAGAATTTGTTAAGATAAGTCTCGCAGACTGCTGGTACGGGTTGCTAGTGCTGAGATAAAAGGATTTCTAGTAAAAGATAGGAAGTAGCCCTGTGTTTCTTAATCTACCTTGGAAGGAGCTGAGAGGTGCTGCAGGTGGACTTAGGCAGGAAAGAGGTCTCAAAACTAGCTAGGTCAGTAAGATGTCTGCTTTGGAAGTGAAGGAGTAATAATGCAAAGATTACACAAATAAAAATGAGATAAAATCAGAATCACTAGAAACAAACTTGGAGAAAGGGTGCTGAAGAGGTTAATTTGTAAGTAAGTGCAGAGTTTTGTGAATCTACATAAAGTTTGTGTTTAGGGGAGAAAACCCAACAGAAAGGCATTTAGGTATACAAGAAATAAAACCCTACAGCTACACAGGCCCTCACATTATCATGATATCCTTTATCAGACTTTAAAGGTAAATTTGCTGTGAAGATCCAGAAAATGTCAGTAAGGTGGTAGGAATTATATGTCAGCTTTTGAGGTCTGATGACAAACTGCCTTCTCCCTAAATCTGCTAGACAGCTACTAAAACTAGTCCCAGCAGACCTGTGGCCCCAGCCCTTGCCTGCAGAGCAGGAGTGCTCTCATCATCCCTGCTGGCACCAGCTCACTGGTTGACAGCAGCCATGCACCCAGCAGCCATACTGGCTCTGGGGAGCTGAGGGCAAGCTTTAGTATCACTGAGGTGGCTCCAGAACACAGCCTGTATAGCAATGTTTGGAGAGCTGGCTAGACGGCAACTGGGAGCCTCCTGCAGCTCACAGAAGGGCTTAACTGTGCTGTTCAGGAGAGTGACTAAGCTAGCAGAGATACATGGTTCAGGATTTTTTTCTTCTCTAGTAAGCAACATACCTTTAGAGCGTTCCTTTTCTTTCCACGACCCCTCCCTGCTTTACATGTTCCTGCTTTTCAAAAGGAAATCCTATGGATTATTCTCCTCCTGTTATAATGACTGAATAATCCTGCAGCCTCCAAAGAAGCTGGCCCAGCTGCCAGCGAGCCTTTTAAAAAGAGGCAGAGCAGCGCAAGAGCCTCAGGAGGGACACCACATCTCCCCTGGGCCCTGCTGTTGAGCCCTGGGACCTATCTGGCACTGTCCTGCAACCTGCTCTGAAGTTTTCCCTTTGTGGGGAAAGCTTCCCTGAAGCTTTGCTAATCAATCATGGAAGGGAAGGAACTTCAGACAGAGAGGAATTGGGAAATCACTATATATTTAAATAATATGAATGTGACCAGGTTTTCTGAGAAGACTGTGAAGGCTAAGATACACAAGGAGTCTTTTTTCCTTCTTTCTTACACAGTAACTTAAAATCAAATTATTGAAGTGCTCACCCATTAAAGAGTTCTTCAAATGTGCTTGACTAGTCCTAAAAGGTCTCCCAGGTCGGGTAGGAGAGCTGGAGGCTGGGTCACCTCTGTGTGCTCTGCCCACATCATGCTTCACCCCAGCTTCAGAGGCCAGGCTCTTTCCAGATTCACTTGGGCAGACACTTCACTAGACATCTGAAGGTGGCTTGTAGGAAAAACCTACGAGTTTTTCACAAGAGGTGTCGTGGTTCAAGCCCAGCCGGCAACCCGGAACCACGCAGCCGCTCGCTCACTCCCCCCCCTTTTCCTTCCTCCCCCCGCTCCCGGAGGGATGGGGAGGAGAATTGGAGGAATGTAACTCCCACGAGTTGAGATAACAGCTCTCCAGTAACTAAGGTATAATACAAACCACTGCTGCTACCAATAATGATGATAAGAGGAATAACAAGGGAAAAGGACACAACCGCTCACCACCCGCCGACCGATACCCAGCCCGACCCGAGCAGCGATCTGGGCCTTCCGGGTAACTCCCCCCAGTTTCTATACTGGGCATGACGTGCTGTGGTATGGAATACCCCTTTGGCCAGTTTGGGTCAGGTGTCCTGCCTCTGCTTCCTCCTGGCTTCCCCTCCTCTCTGGCAAAGCATGAGACTGAGAAAGTCCTTGGTCAGAGTAAACATTACTGAGCAACAACTAAAAACATCGGTGTTATCAGCATTGTTCCCAGACTGAAAGTCAAAAACACAGCACTGCACCAGCTACTAAGAAGGAGAAAAAATGACTGCTGTAGCTGAACCCAGGACAAGAGGAAACCAGTACTGGGAGCCAAAGCAGGATGCCCAGATTGAAAAAAGAATCGGTAGCTGAGAAAGAAATACCAGAGTCCTTGGAAGAATCCCAGCTCTACTTTGAAATATAAAAACTTCAATATGAGTACAACTAGTGTTTGATCCCAGTCACTGTGCTCAACTTCTTTCACAAGCACTACATGCAGTACAAAAGCCAAACCTAGCCTGCCCAGTTAGTTAACCTTCTTAACCAATGAAGACATGGAATTTTAAATGGGATAGACAGGTCACCTATAGACAGGGGAAAAGTGAACCGGTGATAATGACTGCTGAAAAATGACAAAAGATGCTCTTGGAGTAAAAGTTCACCTGCAGTCAGGATCATGCTGGAGGAAAGCTCAATGTGGGCCAGTCAAACCAGCTTGTAGAATCACAGCCAGTTTCTAAAGTGCCTGTTACAACCTGCCTGCAGCATGCCCTGCTCCTGCACCCTGTTTCAGAGCCACACAGCCTGTGTGTCTTGAGGCAGACACTTCTTCCACTCTCACCTGCTGTGGCCAGCCCAGGTTCTGTCCCAGTAGGGAAGCAAGCAAAGAACAAACTGTCTCCATTGCCCATCCTGGCCGTGTTCCCCCTCTTTTTGCCCTGCATACCAGCACTGGATGGTATAGAAAAGAACACATCTCTTTCTAGAATTAAAGAGGCTCAGCAACAAATGTCTCCCTGAAAGCAACAGGAAGAGCCTAAAAAGAATAAAGGAAGTGATTTACAGGTGATGGTGCAGGGAAGAAATACTAAACAGGGCAGACTCCCTGCATGCGGTCATGATGAGCAGCCTTTAAAAGAACTCAACAGAAATGTTCAGACAGCTCTATTTATTTAAGCTTTTATAAATGCCCATCATTACTGTAATCAGGTATGTT